GCACAAGGAGGATGACTCATGATGTTGAACCATGAAGGAACGTAAACAATTACGATAAAATATTCAAATTTGTAGAGTGATGAGGAACTTTTGATATTTACAATCTTAAAATTCTGTTTATTTTTGTCCTCCACCTGGCATGGCTTAAAATTCCTGGTATTGTATTCTTTAAAGATGTGATTTCGTCACTATCTGTGTAACCTTGTTGCACTTAGATTGTTCTTAACCTCATCATTTAAATCAATCACATTTCCTAACATAGCTTTAAACTTTAAAATTGGTAAATCCTTGGGATCAAAGTCTAGTCCACTCATAACTGCACCATTAGAACTACTTGGACCTCTTGTACATTTTCCATCAACAGCAAAAATGTATTTTCAAAACGGTGGTTCAAAACATGCAACAGGTAAACAAGCCATTACAGTGGTCTTGTAACACTCTTCTCTAATTTTCGAATCACATTATTTCTTTTACCTGTATTGTTTACTGTGTCGTCACAAACAACTGCTTGTAGCGTACATGCTGAGTTTGTAATTGCAGCTATTAAGAGTATCTCATTTGCAACTTCCGCTGTTTTACATGATTCTGGCATTCAATGATTAATGTAGTTGTTGTTTGAAAATGATGCAATACTATAATGTTCTTCCTTTATGCTCCTACGAATATCAGATTTCTTAACAAAAGATACGTCTTTTTTCCTTTTAGATCCATGACAAATTTATTCTTGCATTAATTCGGCAGCATGCTTAGAAATTTGATACTGCCGCCAAACACCTCTCTGGCGTCTAAGTTTTGCAGAATCTATTGCAGTTTCCGCTAACAATAGCTGCATATCTTTTAGCACTGCATTCATTACAAGACAAGCATCTCTGTTACTAATCTTTTATCTGCATAAAGTTTTGCACATTTCAGGATATTGCTTCATGTTTCTGGCTGTTACAATACCATCATCAGGTTTACCCGTGTTCAGTTGCAGTTATACGTCATAACCACCATCATCAGCAGCATCATCACTCATGTCACTGTAGTTTCACTTTTTTTTCATACTTCAATTTTTGATTGCGCTGAAATTTCTAACGTTTGACTGTGATAGGTATTTATAAAGAAAAAAGCGCTAACATTCTTCAAATATGGCAAAATTTTGAAAATCAACAATTCAAAACAGCCAAAGTAGTTCAACAGATATTACTAAGAAAAAATGTCAAATTAAAAATGTAAAATTATGATTGACACCAATGTAATAATAAATTCAAATAATAAATTATTCTAATAATAAGTTAATGAGTTATAAACTTCGTGTTAGAAATGTTGACTCAAATTGATTCAGTTTTAAAGCAACACATTGAAACTTTTGCAAATAAAGGCAGAGGTATCTTATTTGTCTAAAAATTATTTGTGAAGAGCTATTTCATGTCTCAAAAGGATTGTGAAGAGCTATTTCATGTCTTAAAATGATTTAACATACATTATTAGTGAAATAAAAAAAGCAAAATACTGGGGAATTGTTGTAAATTCTACGCCTGATATTTCTTACGTCGATCAATTTTCTGTTATATTTCGTTATAATCTAAATAGCCGAGTGTATGAGCAATTTTTTTGTTTTCTACAAATTAAAAGCCATCAAGGTAAATCGTTGATTACTGACATTTTAGATATACTGGAAAAATATGATATTAATATTAGCAATTGTCGTGGACAGACATACGATAATGCAAGCAATATATCTGGTAAATACTCTCGATTACAGGTGCAGTTAAAGGAGTGGATTGATTTAGCTTAAGCAGGGCAGTGCAGTGCAAGATACAAAAAGTTTAGTAGAAAACTTTGATGGAATTCATGCAGCGTTATATCTTATAGCTGAGAATACAGAATAAAAGTGCGATACTTGTCATGTAGCTGTGTGTTTATCAAATAAGATCACTAAGTTAGAATTCATGGCTGTACTTTGTCATCACATACTTGTGAGATGTAATGAAGCTGGCAAATTTCTTTAAAAAGTTGAATTAAATTTGCATACAGCAAACAGCATGTTACTTTCACTAATTGACTTTGTAAAAAACTTTCGAAACAACTTTACAAGATTTGAGAATGAATCAAAAAAACTTAGCTCGTTTATTGAAAAAGACTATTCTGATGAGAACAAAAGAAAAATAGTTAAAAAATTGAGCAACGGAAAAAATCAGGTTAGTATTTTAAACATATCTGACAAGTTTCGAGTAAATATATTTTTTTCCGTTATTGACAAACTTGAGACACAACTAACTAAAAGAAGTAATGGTTACAACCACATAAATAAGTTATTTGGATTTCTGTCAAAGCTGTTAACTATTAGTATGATAAAATTGCAAGTTAGAGCAAAACAAATTGTAGAAGTGTACTCAAAAGATTTAAAAGATAGTATCATTTTTGAAATAGAACAATTGGTAACATTATTAATGTTACAATCTCCAAGTTTTTTTTCATCATAAAAAGGATAAATCTGAAACTAAAAACATACTGGTTCCTCTGCAAGTTTTAAATTGGATTGTTAAAACCAATATTATTGATGTATTTCTGAATGTTTATACAGCATATCTTTTGTTTCTAACTATTCCCATAATGAATTGCGAGACTGAGAGATAATTCTCAGCTCTTAAAAGATTAAAGAACAAAATTAACAATGCTCCATAGTCTTTAAGTAATATAGCAATATTAATTATTGAATCTTATTTTTAGACATTTTTTTAAATTTATATTTTACAATCAAAGGAAGCAGCCGTTTCGCAGTGATTAGAGTTCTGGTTCAAATTTAAGAAGTGGAAGGTTCGATATTAACTCTAGCCCAATAAGCGACGTTGATAAGGAATAAGGTATGAACTTGGGAAGGTATGGTATGAACTTGGGAAGCTATGGTATGAACTTAGGAAGGTATGCCACCGCGGAAGAGCACTTCCGTGCTCTTCCGCGGTGATGATGATTTGAATGCTCTTCCGCAGAGCCCTGTGATAAACCTTTAGGCTTCTTAGAAAACCAAAGAAAAGAAAAGACTATAAAAGGAAAGTATTTTTAAAAGAGATAATTTATTTTATTTTTAGAATGACTTTTTTAAATTTATATATTCCATACAAGTAGAAGATTGTGTCACTTTTAAAAAAGTTTCATAGAGATTTTATTTTTTTCTTTGGGTTTAATTTTTTAGGATCTGAACCTTTTTAGATCTAAAATTATTTTTTTTATGATTTATACACTAAAACTATTATTGAAACCATTTCATTGTTTATCTTAAACCAGTTTTTGACATAACATTAAAAAGTTACTTTGCTTTGACTTTGAATATAGTTTTTATGATTAATGGAGTATTTTGAACAGGGATTTTGATTCTATGGGCCACGGTTATTTCTCAATGGCTATGAGTTCATTATCATTTTAAAAAAAAATTGCACTTCAAATGGAACAGTTATTTTTTAAACTTTTTCGAAAAGTGTGAGTCATTTATGTTAATGAAAGGGCAATTTTTGTTGTTGTTTTTTGTATGATTCAGTTTTGAGTACATTTATATTCAATAAATAATAATAAATATTTTAAAAGTGTAGTAATTAGTGAACCAACAAACATCTGTTTAAACTAATGTTCCTAATCCTAATCTAAATTAAATATAAGATTCTAATCTAAATGAAAAAGACGTTGGTTATTTTAAAATGTTGGAATTAAATTTGAAGTTGCAGCAGCTTGCTAAACGCGGTAATTTCTGACAATCTGATGCAAGCCGACTCAAGTGTTGTTTACAGTAAGGCTATTAATTTCAAAAAAAAATCACGTAGTATTGGCGCTTAGTATAAATCTTAATAAACCAGCTGCTCTTGTTATGTTCCAAATTTTTGTTAGGGAATGATTGTAAAAAAGCTTAAGACAATTCCAATTGCTTGATAACATAGTCAAAAAGAGAGTTGTTCTCATGTCTAATTATATAAAGAAGATAATCTCAGAAAAAAATATAAGGTTAAAACTTGGCCTTTTTTCCCTACTGCTGGATAATATATATATATATATATATATATATATATATATATATATATATATATATATATATATATATATATATATATATATATATATATATATATATATATATATATATATATATATATATATATATATATAAACACTTTTTTTCTAATTTTTTTCCTTAAATTTCAGCTCTTTGGAGTTTGCTAACTTCAGCTTGCTTTCCTGATTCATATAATTTGCAATCTTTGAAGTAGTCTGCTAATTGTTATTTTGTTCTATAAACTTCAAATTTTCTCTTTCAACTCTAATATTTGTTGCTTGCAGCCTTGTTGCCTTGTTGGAAGCAAAAATGTTGAAAAAAAAGGTGTCTAACACCCATGAAACCTAAAAAAACCTTATTTTAATATTTTTTTTACTTCTAAGAATAATCTCTCATTTCTAGGCTAGGTTCTCTAATGGTGCTATTTTGTTTCTTGACAATGCGTAAAAAAAAAAATGTAAACATGGTTGCTAGTTAAAAATAGTTCTCTCCCTTGTTTATGAAAAATCACATGGAGAAATGCAATCGAAATATTACAAGCTACTCTCTCTTTTTCATGTTAAAATATGAATCTCACCGTAAGTCCACTAACAATAGCAAACAACAAAAATTATTCACAATAAACCCTTAGTTTTAGTTTAATGTAATTTCAAGATGACATTACTTTTGCATTAGATTTGATTATAAATCCTTAACAGAGATAATGTCTGGGTTGCTGGTCTTCTCAATATGTTTGGTTTATATGGCGTGTCTGGAATAAAAGTTTAAATTAATAAATTATTTAAAACGCAATATTAAAAAATTCTTAAATGGTACAGTAAAGTTCCTTTATTGGTTTTTTAATGTTGTTTATCTATATTAATGATTTTTGTGATATTTTTTTTTCTAAGGTTTGCTCTATTTACTGGTAAAAACAATACAATCCAGCGCTAAAAAAAGTCATGAAAAATTTCATCAATTTTTGATAATTTAGAACAAGCATCCAAACTTAATACTGATCTCATTTATCTGCCAGTTTGGTGCTTGCAGCGGCTAGTGAACTTTAATCCAAATATAGGTTAGTTTCTTACTGAAATTAACATTTACAGTATTGTTGATAGTATTAATGAATGACAACACTATTATTTCCCTACTTTTTATCTTTTTGGACTGTCATTAACTCCTGGCCTTAAATGGAAACTATACATTAGGGTGATAACTTTTTTTTAAATCTTGTACAGCCTTGGTGCCACACAAATGAGTTTTAGACTAAAAATAACAGATATCTTAATTATAACTTAAAAAAAAAAAAACACTTTCCGCGTATAACAAAAAAATTTTTTGTTTTTTTAAAAGGCTTTTAGTGCCCATAAAATTTTTTTTATAATTTTTTTTAATTCTTCTTTAATTCTATCAGCTTCTGTCATAACTGCTTTGTAAATACATGCCTGTGTTGGAGTTGCAATATTAATACCTTCTTCTGACAACTGATGACTTTTTTCAATGGTGTATACTTAGCTTTACATTCTTTACTAAAGAAACAGCTGAAGAAGTTGAAGCTTTTCTTTTTCTTTTAGATTAACTTAAATTGCTTGTAGATGGGGAAAAATCATCGTCAGTCTTTCTTTCACTGTTACTAGAGTCAGAGATTTCTAATTGATGGTTTGCTGATAACAGTTACTTTATTGGTTAAACAAAATATGGTTTTGCTGACAACATTTACTTTAGTTTTGATACATTTAGATGAATGAGTTGGAATAATTTTTAAAGTAACATATCCTACTTTTCCGCCACATTCAACTTGCACTTTGTAAAACTTTTTTTCTTCAGTACTTAGCCATACAACTTTTTTATTTATAATATTGGATAATATTTCATAATAACAGCTGATAATGATTATCTATGCCTTCTGATCTCGTGGTGAGATCTTCTGATCTCTGATTCTGTGAGATCTTCTGATCTTTGATTCGCCAAAATTTCAACTTTTCTTAAAACTGATTTTTCTCTTATCGCTTAGGAAAATTGCGAAATTAGCATCTGCTAAAATTTCCTTTCTTTATTGTTCCAATATTACCTGTACCTACTATTGTTTTGTCAATATGACTTTTCAGTTTTTTGTGTTGATGTCATTGTTTTGTTTTTTTATACATTAGTATTTTATCCTTGTAATTTAACAAATGTTTTCATGCATCAATTATTATCAATCAATATAGATGTTCTTAAATATATTTTAAATAATTACTTAATTTACATACATAAATACATACATACATACATACATACATACATACATACATACATACATACATACATACATACATACATACATACATACATACATACATACATACATACATACATACATATGGCTCATCATTTATTTCTTTATAGAAAAATATTCTTGTGCCTGCTTACAAGACTTTTGCAAAAAACACTACAAAGAAAGTTTTTGCTCACTTGTGTCTCTATCATGTTTAATTACAACCACTTACACAAACACAGCAAGCTCTATATATCCTACAAATAAGGTTACATCAACAATAGCAGAAACAATAGAAGCTTCAACCACGATTGAATCTGAAACAACAATAAACGAGGCCAAAACTACCTTAATTGATACAATGACATCAACAGCTGAAAAAACAGCAACAACAACTGAAGCTACAATGTTAACGTTTGAGATAACAACAGAAAATGAGGTTTCAATTTCAACAAATAAAACTTCAATAGCTGAGATAACAACAACAACCAATCCTCTAAGCACCATAGCTAAAGCTACTACAACTTCTTTTATTGAGGTAACACTAACAGATATTCCAACCACCACAACTAAAGCAATGACAACGTTAGATGAGACAATAACAACAGAAGTTCTAGGCACCAAAACTAATACAACAACAGCCTTTGAGACATTAGCTAAAACTGATTCTTCAACCACTACAAATGAAGCTTCAACAACGGCAGCTGAGACAGAAACATTAACCGAGGCTCAAACTAACTTAATCAATGCTATAACATCAGCAGCTGTAACAACAAATGGTGCCTCAACTTTTACAATTATAGATAAAATGTCAACAGCTCAAATAACAACAATAACTAAAGCTTCAATTTCAATAACTGAGGCTGTTTCGTCATCAGCTGAGATAGTTACAACAACCGATGCTCTAAGCAGCATTGCTGAAGCTAATACAACAACATCAGAAAATAAAGCTATAATTTTTAGTGAGGTAATAATATCAGAAGCGTCAAACATCGCAACTGAAGCTTCAGCAGAAACTTCCAAAACATCAACTACAACTGAATCTCTAACCAATACAATTGATGCTTCAGTAGTAACAGCTGAGATGGCAACTACAGAAACTGAAGTTACTACAGAAACATTTGTGACAAAAAAAACGGAGACCCAAACTAACGGCAATAACTGAAGCTTCAATTTTGGAAACTAAAGTTAGCGTTAGCTTTAACCACAACTGAAAGTTTAACACTTTAAACACTTACTTCATTACGAAAACTATTTTGTGATAGAAATATGCAATCGAAATATATAACGATTCAATCATGATTTTGTAACTTTGGATTAGATTTAGCTTTACTTACAATAGCTTTAACTTGAGCACAATATTTTTTAACTTCCGTGTATTAAATTTTCCGTTTACTTAATTTATATATATATATATATATATATATATATATATATATATATATATATATATATATATATATATATATATATATATATATATATATATATATATATATATATATATATATATATATATATATATATATATATATATATATTAGGGTATCCCAAAAATTTTTTTTATGAATTTTTTGATGCAGTCCCTCTTAAAAGTTTCTTTGCAGTCTCTTAACAACCCACAATTTTTTTTATTACATTTGAAAAATATTTAGAGGCCCCCCAAGGGTCATAAAGTTTTAGCGATGTCGCGGTTTACGTTAATGGCATTTGATGGCTCGACATCATCGAGTTTACAGAATACAGATCACATGTCTAATCGATCATAAAAATATAATAAAAATGATTATATGATTTCAAGCACAAGCAAAGCCAATTTTAACTTTAAATATTTTAACACTTAGCAATAGAGTATGTAACTTTTTTGTGCTCGTTTAAACACAATTAAAGACAATAATTTATTATACAAAATGGCAACAAGTTTTTAATCATTTATTCTAAAATATGATAAATAAAATCTAAATCTCCACAAGATTGTCACAATTGCATTTGGAAAAGTCATTCTTTGTTATTGCTCCATTAAAATTTTGGATGAGAGCAACGCCCCGCTCAGCACAATCATTAACACATTGCAAGTTATTGACAAGTTGACGTGCCATCTGATAGGAATGGTTATCGTGCTACTCTTCCACTGGAATATCGAGAAAGCTATCATCAATGGCAGTAACTAGGAAGAAACTTCGAGAATTGAGTGATTCCGCTGTTGGTTTTGGAAGAGACATGGGCAAATGCAATCCTCGATCACTTTTTCATGTCGACACAAGCTGGGTTTAATCTTTAGAAGACATATTCTGAGAAAACAAGGAAACTGTTGCTAGCTCTTGGCTGAGGTACTAGGAGTGACGCTTCATCATCTTCAAACCTTTTGTCTGCAAAGCAGCATCTTCATACGTAAGCAGCCTTTGAATCAATAGAATATTATTCAATTGTGCATCAGCAATGGCTCGACTTGAAAACCAAGATTGAATGTAGAAATTGACAACAAATCTATTAAATCTCTGAATGCCCTGTAATTCACGAGTAGTCAACTGTATAACAGCTTCATTACCATCAAAAAGTAGTTCTATCTTCATTGCATAAATCGCCTTGGCCATCCAACATGCTCTGTGAACGGCACCAGGCTTGCGAACTGGTCCTACCCCAGCGCATTTTAAACCAATCATATAAGCCGCGAGTTGGAGAAATTCTCAATAGTCATCTTGTAGATGGCTGAGTTGAAGCTGCTCAGCAATTAACTCCTTCAGATTGTCATTTGCACTCACCAATGGCACTGGTCGTAGCATAGGCTGACGGTGGACCAACTCTGACCATTTCTCTCGGAATCTTTTAAAAATCAAAATATCCGGTCCAGTTGACGGACCTAGACACACTCCATATGCATCAGACAACAACACCTCAAACATGTGGTGGCGACATACCATCCATAGCAGATTGCGACCAATAGCCTTCTCCAGAAGAGTGCTGACTCCACTCAGTCTGCCGGTATTTGAGGCTGTTGTATCAAAGCACATTCCAATTACTTGTTGATCGCACTGCCATGATTTGTGTTGGTCAAGAACTGCTTCCGATCCCACTTGTCCTGTTCCAGAAGTCAACTTTGGTACTCCCAACAATTTAATATTTTCATCAACAAGTGAAGAAACAAGAACTTCTAATCTATTAACTTGGTTGGTGTTTACTCCAGTGATGTCAGGTAGTAGTTTGTCATCCCAATGAACGACGGACTAGGTAGAAAGTCATCCTTGATCTTCTGTGCAGCTTCACAACGAAAAAGCTGTTGTTGACGATGGACTGTAATTTTTGAAAGACCAACAGATATCGTGGAGCATCCAATTTCATTAACCATTGATGCAATTATCTTGTTGATTTACGAATGCTGATGTTTGTGCGGTTTAATACAGCAGCCACTTTTGAAGTCATCACACCAGCACACTTGGGTTGCTTGGTTGGTCTATCATTAGTTGGACAACAAATTCATCCATAGATTCTTCATCATCTGAGGAGCACAATTTCGATGATACTGCTGTTTCCGAATCTTCATCTTCAGTTTCCACATCTGCCTGGATTAATTGCTGTCCTGCTGAAGCTGCTCTTTGCTGGAGTACGATTCGTTCTTTACGTTTTGCTGAACGCTTATCGCAGAAAAATATTTTATTGTCCACAGATCTAATGCATTCGGTTCTATATTCTTTCTGCAACTTTAGAAACTGTCGGTCTTCCTCATTCTTGATAAGATTGTCAGAATCAGCATGACTGATATCAAACAAATTAATAAAAAATATTTAGTTGTTGTTGTGGGACCATTAAGAAACTTTTAAGAGGGACTGCATCAAAATTATCAACAAAAAATTTTACCAGAGATAAACTTGGGACACCCTATATATATATATATATATATATATATATATATATATATATATATATATATATATATATATATATATATATATATATATATATATATATATATATATATATATATATATATATATATATATATATATATGTATATATATATATATATATATATATACATATATATATATATATATATATATATATATATATATATATATATATATATATATATATATATATATATATATATATATATATATATACATATATATATATATATTTATATATATATATATATATATATATATATATATATATATATATATATATATATACACATATATATATATATATTTATATATATATATATATATATATATATATATATATATATATATATACATATTATATATATATATATATATATATATATATATATATATATATATATATACATATATACGTTTTCTTATCTTAGTTTTTGTTATTTAGTTGTTTTTGTGATTTTTATCTTTTTTGATATTACTTTTAGATTTTATCAGTTATTTGTTTTTTCTTTGTTTAAGATAAAATTGAAATTTAATTTGCCTTTTTTTATTTATTTATTTTTCTCCTTTTTTATTAAATTTTATAAATTCCTTAATATATAGGCTTGGGCCCATCCATTTTTTTAAGTTTGCAGTTAGGGGAGGAGGTTAAAGCATACTCTGTTATTGTATTTACTGGAATTTTTTAAATAAGATATTAAATTGTTTATGCAAATAAGATATTAAATTAATAATGAAAATAAGATATTAAATTATTAAAGTAAAATGCGGAAATAAATACGAAAATATCCTTAAAAATTACACAAATTTTTAAAAATGATTACATGGGTTAAGGTGCAACTTTTCGATGCTTTTTATGATTCAAAAAACGTATTAAGAACTAATTTATTATTATAGAACTTTTCTTTTTTGGCAATCTTTGTTTTACTTTGTTTAAATAACTTGCTGAGAAGTTATTTAAACAAAGCAAAGTAAAGAAGCGTTGTAGATTTTATAATTTTACTAAAGATCTTAAAACTACAACTAAAAAAGTAAAAAAAGAAACATTTTATTTAGTTAAAGGCAATTATATTAAAAACTGACTTTAATTAAATAGAAAGTTTCAACTTTTTTTGTTGTTGTTGTTTTATCAGAGAGCAGTGAAACTTTAGAAACTTAGTTCAACAAAAAATAATACTTTAAAAACTAAAGTTTTTTGCTGCGTGGTTTTTCCCTTTAAATATTTTTTTTTTTTTAGTTATATAGAACTGAGGCGAAAACGAAGAAATGCAAAAAAAAATGTTTTAGAGAACATAAAATATAACAAAAAGAATATATGCATCTTCAGAAAAAAACGTTTATTGCTTATGTAAAAATAAGCACATATGTTTCTAGCATATTAAATAAAAACATTTCAAGTAAAAAATTATTTTTTATGGTAAAAAAACTGCTAGAAAGAACTCAAGAATCTAACAGATTCGAATGATTCGAATCTAACTATTATCAGCTAAATTTAGATTGAGAACTAGCTGATAATTTAAACAATAATGTTACTGAAAAACTTAATCTTCAAATACCCTAATCAAAAAAAAACAAATCAGATTATAAAGTTAAGTTCAAAGAAATTTTGATCCAGGGACAAATGAGGAAATTTACAAAATTACCATGTTGTTTTGAGTAAAATTTACTCCCGATGATCCAATTACAGTATATCTAAATGAAAATAGTTTATATATATATATATATATGTATATATATATATATATATATATATATATATATATATATATATATATATATATATATATATATATATATATATATATATATATGGATTGAAGTAAACCTATCGCTAGAATCAAGCATTATGGATTGTCTAAAAATAATAAAAAAATTAGACTCTCGCCAAAGATATAGAAAATTTTAAGAACTATGAAGTGACGGATCTTGGGAGAAGAGGGTTATTTGGGTAAGCATCTTCCTTCTTCCCCACAAGAATCTGAAAGCCCTAAAGTATCTTAAAAATGGAAGACCTTTAAAGACGCAAATGTGGTATAATATACAAAAATATTTCAACATTCCCCCTCCTGCTCCTCCTTTCCTTCAAAAAAATAAAAAATTCCTGGATCTGTCACTGAAACTATTCACCAGTTTCTTAATTATAACTTATTAGTACGTCAATAGAAACAGTAGTTTAAAATCTCATAATTCCCATAAGACTACTAAAAATTTTCATATAGAATATCAATACACTTTTACTTAAACTTTCTAATGATATATTTAAACTTTTTGATAAGAAAATACCTTCAGTATTAATGTTACTTGATCCAGGTAAGTATTGCCTTTTACACGAATGACTAGCAAAAACTACTTGGGTTATTAACTACTGAAATATATAATATAGGTATAATTAAGTATAAATATAGGTATAATTAAGTCAACTTCAATGAATATAGGTATAACTAAGTTAACTCCAAGGGCAGATGCAGCATTTTTTGGCGTTTGAGATCCAGCATATCTAACTTCCAGAATTGGAACAAATTCCAAATATTTATATCTTAATAATTGTGTCAAATAGAAAAGCCATAGCGCAGTGGTTAGCGCACATGCCTCAGAAACTAGAAATCCGTGGTTTCACTGGGAAAGTTTTATAACATCGGTAAGGAAGGAGGCGTGAACTTTCATTCAAATGCTCTTCCGCGGTGCTCTGTGATAAGACCGTAAGAACTTCTTGAGACACCTAAAAAAGTATATATATATATATATATATATATATATATATATATATATATATATATATATATATATATATATATATATATATATATATATATATATATATGTATATATATATATATATATATATATATATATATACTATATATATATATATATATATATATATATATATATATATATATATATATATATATATATATATATATATATATATATATATATATATATATAGTCTCTGTTTATTTTATAGATAGATTATATACATTGTAAATAATTATGCTAAATGCTTGTAAAAGGTTCTGATGATAAGATCAGTACAATCTTCTTTCAGATACCTTGATTGTATTTGTTAAAATATTGTATTACGACAAACGTAAACTTAAATTGTAAAAAAAAAAAAAAAAAAAGTTTAGTTTTTATCAGAGCTATGTTTAATATTGACTCTATTTGAAATGTTTTTTCAGCTTTTATTTTTTCATTGAATTATTTGTTATAAAAGTTTCTTTAATTAACTTTAATTTTAATTGGAGTATGTTACGGAATATATTTATATTCAGTATACCATACCTTTTTAGCATACGTTGATTGCGTTTTTAGACTATATTTTTTTCAGATTTATTTTTGTATTGAATAAATAGTTTAAGATCATCTGATTTCCCTGGTTTTGACTTAATTTAATATTTTGATTAGTAAGCTTTTGAACAGGTGCGTTTGTATTAATTTCAATTGTACTTTCAAACATCTGCATGCAATCTTTGGTGCTAGTGGTTAAGGAGTTATGGCCAAAAAGACCAATCACAATTATTTTAGATAACTCATATATGCAATGTGCTGGTAACACAATAAACTATCAAGCGTAACTTGGGTTGTCAACCAATAGAAAAGTATCCTATTTGCTCAATATATTTTAAAATCTTGTGTAATTAAGCTGTGAAAAAAATACCACCGCAAAAATACCAGATGTGACCAGAGCTGTGAAAAAAATACCACCGTTTAGATGTAAAGGATACACAGATTTAAAGCTCGCAAGTAATTACTTAACTTACTCTTTTTGTGAATGGTAGTGGCCGCACAGTTTGTCTTACGCCTTAACAACTTGTCAAGGACTTTTAAATTTGATTGTACCATGCTGTATTAAAGCTCTTTTCATAAAAATACTCGTGATTTTCTCAAATTTTAATAAGAACTTAAGGATAGGATTTTTAAAATATGATGAACCGTTAAGTTTGCAACACACAAAGTCGAAGTTCGCTGGGCACCAAACTCACACTTTAATCCTTGATACATTCCACCTTCAGTTAAATAATGTTTAGAAATTATGATTTAAGGTACGATCACTACAAATGGTCGAGCTTGTTTACACATTTTACAACAAGGTGTGAGTTTTTTATTACAAAGTTTTGAAAATGTGGTATAATATACAAAAATATTTCAACATTCCCCCTCCTGCTTCTCCTTTCCTTCAAAAAAATAAAAAATTCCTGGATCTGTCACTGAAGCTATTCATCAGTTTCTTAATTATAACTTATTAGTACGTCAATAGAAACAGTAGTTTAAAATCTCATAATTCCCATAAGACTACTAAAAATTTTCATATAGAATATCAATACACTTTTACTTAAACTTTCTAATGATATATTTAAACTTTTTGATAAGAAAATACCTTCAGTATTAATGTTACTTGATCCAGGTAAGTATTGCTTTTTACACGAATGACTAGCAAAAACTTCTTGGGTTATTAACTACTGAAATATATAATATAGGTATAATTAAGTATAAATATAGGTATAATTAAGTCAACTTCAATGAATATAGGTATAACTAAGTTAACTCCAAGGGCAGATGCAGCATTTTTTGGCGTTTGAGATCCAACATATCTAACTTCCAGAATTGGAACAAATTCCAAATATTTATATCTTAATAATTGTGTCAAATAGAAAAGCCATAGCGCAGTGGTTAGCGCACATGCCTCAGAAACTAGAAATCCGTGGTTTCACTGGGAAAGTTTTATAACATCGGTAAGGAAGGAGGCGTGAACTTCCATTCAAATGCTCTTCCGCGGTGCTCTGTGATAAGACCGTAAGAACTTCTTGAGACACCTAAAAAAGTATATGTATAAATATATATATATATATATATATATATATATATATATATATATATATATATATATATATATATATATATATATATATATATATATATATATATAGGATTTTTTGCTAAAAGTTGCTTTGATTGAAGCCTGGGAACAAAAGAGCCCCAAATATTTTGCTTCCCTGCCCCAAACCTGAGAGCAACTAGTTGAAAGAACATATATTTTTTACTACTTCAACTATATTTATATTCATTGATCAATTTTAATTTTTATAGTATAATCTCTCAGCGTTCAAAAATTATGACCATATAGTATTTGAAAAACCCTTAAGTTGAGAGGGGTTCAATCTTTATAAGGTCATAATTTTAGAATACATAATTTTTCAACGCCTTAAACACCAAAAAATGCAGCATCCGTCTCTCGGTGGCTTACAAGTGATTTGAATAATTTTTAATAATCGTACTCAAAAAGTTGAGTTTTTTAACTCATTTTCCACGTACCAAAATGTAAATTATGAAGCACAGCAAGGTATAATCATTGTTTTAAATTTTTTTTAACACCTATATTAGACCACTAAAAAAATATCTGCAGGCAATCAATATTAAAACTTTTTCGGACTCAAATTCTAAAATCATTTCTTCATTAATTTGAATATAATACACTAGTATATTATAACTTCTTATAAGAAGTTTTGAAATAGTGGGAAATTGGAAATTTGGAAGAAATATTTATAAAAATAGTTGTTTATAGTGAGTGTTTTCCGTGATCACTGTATGTATACATTATATGTAAAATCACGGGTACAACTATAAATAATTTATAATACTAAATAATTCGCTAAAAGAGCATTATGTTTTGTTTTTTTGTAATTTGAAAACAAAATATAAAGTTAAAGTATATATCTATAGTTACAAACTTAAATTTTAGCTGTTTTTGGTTTGAAATTTGGTAGCTGTAGTTGCTTTGAAAGACATTTAAAATAATGTTGATCCGGATTGGACTCTTCATTAAGTATGAAATCATTGAACTGAAATAAATCCAAAGCCCTAATGAAATTCGAATCTATTTTAATACTTCAAAAAACTATAAAGTTAAAGTAATAATAAAGGTTAGAGAATAAGTATAAAATTTTTTTTTTCAAAAATCGCACTTGTGATAAATATAATTTATGATAAACTTTTGTGATAAATAGATTGATACTTTTATGTGCTTTTTATCATAACTATTAGATTTATTTTTAGGTTCACAAGGCACTAAACACTTAGTTTAAACATTTAAGGCACTAAACACTTAGTTATAAATATTTAAGGCACTAGACACTTAGTTTAAACATTTAAGGCACTAGACACTAAAGTTTGAGTTTGCTAAATTTACTATGATTAACAACAATTGTTTAAAAAAAGAAACATTTAATATTATTGCAATGTCTTGGTTATTTAAAAATATATTTACACTAAAAATATTACTGAAAGCAAACATTAAATGAAAAATTTACTTTCTTTCTTGTTTATAAAAGATTTTTTCAACAAGATTTTAATTCCAGCTGGTATTGAACGTATATTGGACGTTAAAAAGCATCACACGGACATGTGATGATTATAAGTTGTTGTACTGACTTCTTACGGACGTTTGTGCCCATTGGATTGAAGCAAAATGATTTATTGATAATTCAAAGTCAAAACACATTTGATTAAAATTAATGTCAACTCAAAAATATATTGTTTTTATTGTTAATCACAAACAATTTTTGATAATCTTTAGCCTTCTAAAATTTCTCTCATCATAGGCAGATGTAGAAGAATCAAGTCAATTTTGTATAAACAAGTTAGAAAAAGATGATTTCATCTTTTTCTCTATTAAGAATGTATGTACGTTTTTCATTTGCAGTTCAGTCGTCATTACTGGAGATATTGATGCATACACTTCTTTGAAAGAAGCATGTAGGTTTTAAGAGGCGAGGGAACCAAAAACATTTGTAACACATAAAAAAAGTAAAATCTAAATTGATCCAAAATGTTGAAATCAGTTAACTAATTTACTTTTTATCGTTTTTTCTTTAAAAAAAAGTTGTTTACCGTTTGCAAAGTCATTCTAGTTTTATGAATACCTGTCACAGTAGTTTGATACATCGAACTATTTTAAAAATGCATTAACTGAGTACATTATGACTGGAAAGGATATTTTCTTAAAATAAAATGTCTCCGTTTTATTTTCTCTCATATATGCGTGCAAATTTGTAAAGCAGCAGTTTAATAATAAATAATAATTATTAAAAATAATTATTACAAATAAAATAGCATTACCACTACTGATGCCATAGTACTACGTTTTTTATGTAAGATTTCAGAATTGACATTATCAAAAAACTTTTTGAGGGTCAATAAAGATGCTACATCTAAACGTTTCTCCACCTAGAGTTTTCCTGATATTTGAGGTCAAATTTAGTAATGCTATAGATGTTGAATAGTTTGTTCGATATCGAAATTTTAAGTCACAAAACAGTTCATTTTTGTTAAGAAAGTCATATAAGGGGTTAAACGTGAATCTTTTAAGTGTTTTACCATTGTTTGATAGAGGGATCATTTGAGAACGAGTTGTTAATAATGGTTGTAACAAGTTTAGAGACTTTTGTTTTAAGTAGTTTGAAAGTTTTCACTGGTATGCTACTTGGTCCTGGCAACTTATTAGGATTAACTGAGTTTATAATTTCAGAGATTTCTAGAACGGATTCATTAGATTGTTAACATCCTTAGATTAAGTAATGTTTGCTTTTAGTTCTGTACCCGGTGGCGGGTTAAGACTTCTTGGGGCCCGGGCTAATTTTATTTTTGAAGGCCTTTTTATGGGCTAGAGCCTAAAAATGATCAAAAACAAAGGTCCTTGAAAATTTTTGGAAACCCCTAAATTTGCGGGGCCCGGGACTATAGCCCTAGCCCCTCCTTGATCCGGCACTGTCTGTACCAATGTTAATGAAGTTGTTGTTAAAATTATTGTAGATATAGTTCACTCTAAAAAAAAGATTTCTACTTCAGGGGAGAATATGTGATTAACCTACAGCGGAATATAATTTTCTACCTTCTAATCTAAAAAATATTAAAAATAATAATTTGTCATATAACTTTCTACCTTAAAGATATAATTCAACATTAAAATGGGCTCTTTGTTGTTGCGGGTAGTATAGTATAGAAATGAAAATTCTTAATATTTACGAGCTTAATGTGTTTAATGTTTTATGCTTTATGTATTTGTGGAAAAATGACTTATCCCTACCTATCTTTAAAGTTCTCTTTTGTGAAAAACCAATAAATAAATACAAACCTTTTTGTCGAAGAAAGTTAAACCAGTATGGTATTGCTTATCGTGCGCCATATCTTTGGAATAAAGTTATTTTGCCAAACTTTGATATATTTTACACTTTTCCAACTTTCAAACATAAACTTAAAAATTTAATTTTATTTTCCGATGACATAATAAGGTTCTTTTATTGTAATTATGTACCTTTATTTAGAACATTTTTAATTATAAAATACGTTTTATGTTAATTGTAAAATACGTTTTATGTAACGACTCTTTTTGTTTTACTTTTTTGTTTATTTTATAGATAGATTATATACATTGTAAATAATTATGCTAAATGCTTGTAAAAGGTTCTGATGATAAGATCAGTACAATCTTCTTTCAGATACCTTGATTGTATTTGTTAAAATATTGTATTACGACAAACGTAAACTTAAATTGTAAAAAAAAAAAAAAAAAAAGTTTAGTTTTTATCAGAGCTATGTTTAATATTGACTCTATTTGAAATGTTTTTTCAGCTTTTATTTTTTCATTGAATTATTTGTTATAAAAGTTTCTTTAATTAACTTTAATTTTAATTGGAGTATGTTACGGAATATATTTATATTCAGTATACCATACCTTTTTAGCATACGTTGATTGCGTTTTTAGACTATATTTTTTTCAGATTTATTTTTGTATTGAATAAATAGTTTAAGATCATCTGATTTCCCTGGTTTTGACTTAATTTAATATTTTGATTAGTAAGCTTTTGAACAGGTGCGTTTGTATTAATTTCAATTGTACTTTCAAACATCTGCATGCAATCTTTGGTGCTAGTGGTTAAGGAGTTATGGCCAAAAAGACCAATCACAATTATTTTAGATAACTCATATATGCAATGTGCTGGTAACACAATAAACTATCAAGCGTAACTTGGGTTGTCAACCAATAGAAAAGTATCCTATTTGCTCAATATATTTTAAAATCTTGTGTAATTAAGCTGTGAAAAAAATACCACCGCAAAAATACCAGATGTGACCAGAGCTGTGAAAAAAATACCACCGTTTAGATGTAAAGGATACACAGATTTAAAGCTCGCAAGTAATTACTTAACTTACTCTTTTTGTGAATGGTAGTGGCCGCACAGTTTGTCTTACGCCTTAACAACTTGTCAAGGACTTTTAAATTTGATTGTACCATGCTGTATTAAAGCTCTTTTCATAAAGATACTCGTGATTTTCTCAAATTTTAATAAGAACATAAGGATAGGATTTTTAAAATATGATGAACCGTTAAGTTTGCAACACACAAAGTCGAAGTTCGCTGGGCACCAAACTCACACTTTATTCCTTGATACATTCCACCTTCAGTTAAATAATGTTTAGAAATTATGATTTAAGGTACGATCACTACAAATGGTCGAGCTTGTTTACACATTTTACAACAAGGTGTGAATTTTTTATTACAAAGTTTTGAAATTGAACAAATTTAAAACCCATAAAAAAATGTTGCAAGGAAGATCTAAAAAAACTCATAACTAAAACAATGTGTTACAAAAGAACGTCTTAATGTCTTGTTGCCTTAACACCGCACTATGCCTCAAAATGCTCAAAAAACAGCAAAAACTCAACTTTGATAAATACCGTAAATAAATATGTTATATATAGAAATAAAATTTTTTTGAGTCAAAAAATTCAAATTATTTAATAAAAATATGTTTTTATGCGCAGCTTTAACGCGTACGATGCGCGCATACACGTTTATGGGCACGTTACGTTTTGACTACCGCTTAAAAAATATATATATATATATATATATATATATATATATATATATATATATATATATATATATATATATATATATATATATATATATATATATATATATATATATATTTTAAGCGGTAGTCAAAACGTAACGTGCCCATAAACGTGTATGCGCGCATCGTACGCGTTAAAGCTGCGCATAAAAACATATTTTTATTAAATAATTTGAATTTTTTGACTCAAAAAAAATTTTTATATATATATAGCGCGCTATGCTTCAGAGAAGAGATAAAATGGCAAAAACTCCTAATTTTAAATTACACTTATTTTTAACTTTTTTTTCGTACTCTTAGACATATAAATAAATAAATAAATAAATAAATATATATATATATATATATATATATATATATATATATATATATATATATATATATATATATATATATATATATATATATATATATATATATATATATATATATATATATATATATATATATATTTATTTATTTATTTATTTATTTATTTATTTATTTATTTATATGTCTAAGAGTACGAAAAAAAAGTTAAAAATAAGTGTAATTTAAAATTAGGAGTTTTTGCCATTTTATCTCTTCTCTGAAGCATAGCGCGCCACAAAGAATAGAAGCCGTTTAAAAAATCCAAAGAGTCCATAAAAAGTAATAAACATGTTATATTCTGTGACTTCTTTATTCTTTTCTGTTTTTGTTTAATGCTTCTTTAAATTGAAACGTTTCCTTGTAATGAATGCGTGCATTATACAGTAGGGGAGACCGGGGCTAGTTGGCCGCAGGGGTAAGTTGACGAATTGCGTTTATCTTTAAAGCCTTTCATCAGAAAGTGATAAAAATTACACAGAATCTTCCTAATTGACTGTTTCATTATTCAATGTAGTATTGTCAGGATTCGCGCATGCGCATGGGAGATATTAAGATTTAAGTGTTTTTTGGACAAAAACGTAACTTTTGAAACATCGCTTCCTTTTTACTTTACAAAGAAAATAGTTAGTCAAATGGAAAAAAAATTATTGTAAAAGTTCTAGCCACAATTGGTTTACTATATTCAGTTTGACTTTTTTTAAAAGTTGCCGTTTTTCAGGATCTATAGACTGTTTATTGAAAAAAAAGCCTTCGGGGTAAGTTGACAAAATTTTTACGGGGTAAGTTGGCTCATAGCATTTACTATGGAGAAAAATATTTATTTTTATAAAAATAATTTTTTTAATTTTTTTAATTTTTAACAATATTGAAAAAACTTATTCTTACAAAAAAATTATAAAAATTTTTTTTTTAGGTTTTTTGTAACAGGTAAAAAGAGGGCTGCTGTTTTGGCTGTTATACGTACTAATATTTAGCACAAGCTAAAAATAATATCAAATTATTAGCTTAAATTGTTGCCAAAATTAATAGGTAAAAAATTTCTATTAATTTTGCACTTAATAGTACATTAATAATCACGTTTATAGTTTGCGTCAACTTACCCCGTGGTGGGGTAAGTTGGCGCAATTTTTTTTTTTTTTTTTGAGGGCCCCGTAAGGCCTCAAGAATTTTTTTTTGTAAATCCATGAAACTTTTATAAGTTACCCAAGTTCATACGCTTTGAGACTACACTTTAATATTTTCAAAAAAGTGTGCTATTAGGGCTACAGAGCTCATAGAGTAAAAACCGAGCCAACTAGCCCCGGTCTCCCCTACAAAAATGATTTATTGCTCAAAATATTGGGTGGTCCGGGCAAAGTCCGGAATGTTTTTTTATTCAAAGTTTTGTTATTTTTAAAAAAGATGCATTATGTTTAAATAAAGCGTATAACGGATTAACTTCATGTTCTATGATAATAACTTATTGTAGGATATGAAGTTAATCCATAGAACAGTGTAAATATTATAATTCACTTATATCAAAAGGTAACGTGCCATATATAATGGATTTTTTAAAAAAAGTTATCATGTTTTTTTAAAAGAAAAATGGTAAGCAATGTTTATGTCATATTTTCAAACTAACAGTAGTAAAGAACAAAGCACAAGTTTTTAGGATTTGTTGGTATAAAGATCTTTTTTTCTGTTTATACATTTTTTGAAATTGATTTTAACTTATTTGACCAATAAACAACAGCTGTTAATAATAGAAGTATTTAAGATAATAGCTACAAAGAGACTAAACAAATATGCTACAAATATAATAAGTATTCATGTTTTTTCACTACACGCCTTACGCCATTCATTTTTTTATAAATTTTGAAAGTTTAAATTTTCTGAAGATTAATCACGCAAACATGTGTAATGACGTATTTGTAAATATGTCAGTTTTATCATTATTGATTCGAAAAAAATCAAAACTCTATTTATCATACACTTAATACTATTTAAAAGTTTAAATTTAAATTAACGTTTTAACATTTTTAATAACTTTTAATGTATCCAATTTAAGTTAGATTTTTATGTTATCCAAGTTATTTTATAGGTATTTATATTTTTAGGGGGCAAAAAAAATTAGATTTTTTTTTTCTGATTTATAGTTTATAATTTATGATTTATAAATTTTTAGATTAGATTTGGTAATAAATTTGAACGAAAGATTTAGTAAATGTATAGATGACGTAGTAGCAACGTAGTTGATGACGTTGGATTTTCCAGACTTTTGCGTTAATTATTTCCGGAACCTTAAACAATTTAAACTGCGTTCCTTTATGCACATCAAATAAGTGAATGCAAAATTAAAAAACTTTAGTTGAACCGTTTTTGAGATAATTGATTAATACTTGATTCAATTTAGATAGCAGATTTAGTTTGTGCTGACACAAAATTGAATTACAATTGTTGAATCTGAATACAAAACCTTTGTTAACTTATTTTGAAATCTGCGATCGACAGAAATAAAAATGTTTGATTGTATCACATGCGTTACTTTCAATGCACATTTCTCATCATTAGAGTTAGATTAAATGAAAAAACCATTAATCTTTTTAGAACAAATTTTCTTGATTTCAAGTGGTCCTTAAAATCAGCCAGACACCGTGTTCGATGTCAGGCTAACACCTCTTCTCACGCATTTATGCTTTGGTATTATAAATAAACCAAGGAGGTATAACAGAGTAGAGGGAAAAGAAGTTAAAATACGTCACTTTTGAAGTAACAGACTTAGTAGTAACATAATTTGCTATTAAACACCGCGTAATTATCGTATTATAAAGTTAAACAATCGCATTCCACTTCTAACAAAAACTATACAACGATAATGTTTCAAAACGTCATCAGCAATTGAAGCATTGCAAATAAAAGATGGAAGTTTTAAAAATTCGTAAACTATGTTTAGAGTTAGTCTGTTGTTCTTTTTTTATGTTGTGCTTTTTGAATAATAAATTTCGAGATTAGAATTGAGTTAATAAATATTTAGATAAGAATTGGCAGTATTTTTGCCGGATTTACAAAAAAGTAAACCTTTTGTTCTATTTTATAAGTCATACTCTCCTTTCATTCTGTTAAATACCTCTTTGATTAAACTATAATTTAAACTGAAAAAAAATATTATAAGAAGAAATACTAGTAATAAAAAACTAAAGTTTAATTTATAGCCAAAAAATAAATGGCCTCGTTAATAATCAATAGTTTTAAAATAAATGCGCATAATTAGTTTCTCTCTCAAAAAGACCCCATTATTAATTTTGCAAAATTGAAGAAGAAAATATGGTAATGCATTTAAATTTGTTATTATAAAATTCTGTTCATTGAATTTTTAATAGCGTGGTTAATTTTTTTTTTTACACCTTAATGGAACAGAAATTTTGTGTAGAACTCTGATTAATATAATAATTAAAACGATGCGTTAGTTAATGAAATTTAAAAACTCTTTAAAATTTTTTTTTCTGAAATTTTGCTTTTTTTAAACCAGGACGACTGATTATTTCTATGACATTTTTCAGGACGCCGGGAGAGTTTACCTGAGTTTAAGACAATTCCGGAAAACCGGTATATATATATATATATATATATATATATATATATATATATATATATATGCATAAAATTGCTTATTATCAGCAACCTTCTTGTATACTGCTTTAGTTCGAGAAACGGCTCATCAGTTTTGCTCTTGAATAGGAGCAACTTTGCAGCTTTTTTTCACGATATGCCATTAACAACGCTTTCTGAACGGATTTTACAGTTCTCTTGGCCGCATCGTTGATAACCGCCAAATTTTTTTACAAAAACTTTTTTTTAATTCTAATAGACCCAAAAATATTTTTTCTATAAAATCATAGATTTTGGATTGAGGTTATTGCAACAGTGTTTTCAATCACTTCTTTCATATTTTTCTATAGAGAATTATCAGAGTTGGCGAGGACAAAGATAATTGTGGTAGGAAATAAGTACATACTATGAAATTTCCTATCTTCTTAAGACTACTATTGCTGGTGGTTTGATTCTCTTCAGATGAGCCATCTGCGAAATGAAGTACTAGTCCGGTAAAGATTTTAAAAGCCCAACATTATTGTTAAAATATTATGGAATGTATAAAAGATGATTTTTTTGTTTTTCAAATAACCTGGATTGCAGCAGCGTCTAATTTTGCAGCAGTAAAAACTCAGAAGCATGAAATTTAAAATTTATTTTTTATCAGTTATTCTCTCCGTCTTCAGATTCAGAAACTCCTTAGTATGATTGAGAAGAAGACTTATATTAAGATAATAACATAAGCCACGGCAACGGGGGCCGAGAGGCCAATTACCCCCTCCCTCCCTTCTAGAGTTTTGTAAAGTAAAGTTGATTTATTTGCTGATAAAAAAAATTGAATACTATTAAATAAAATAAAATAGAAATGGTTTAATCTATTTTTGGCAAAAGTAAATCCGTTAATTTTATTTTAGATGCCCCAAGAAGTCTTTACGGTCTTATCACAGAGCACCGCGGATGAGCATTTAATTGGAAGTTTACGTCTCCTTCCTCACCAATGTCACAAAACTTACCCATTAGTGGGGTTTGAACCACGGATCCTTTGTTTCTGAGTTGAGGAGGTAATGTATGTTGCGAAGTTAATGGAGTATTAGCTCGAATTCTGAACTGCAAAAAACTGTTGCCACACACTGTTATAGGAATTCTCTTAGTTTAGCCGTCAAATTGTTGACTACAAAATGTGAAATTTTGCGAGATACCTTAAGTGTTGTTGAAAAAATACTTGTAAAGATTTCACTGAAACAAGAACATTTGCTTGAAAACATTAATGAGAACATCGAGATAAAACAAGACCATTGAAAAAGCGAATAGATGAAAGAAAAACTTGACCAAGAGACGAAAACAAGAATTGTCGGTTGCAAAAGCCAGATAGAATCCTTTTATTTCTTTTTTGGCATGAATCCCTCTAACTTTTACGTCATGACTGAGAACTTGTCAAAATCTCTTTAATTGACAAAGATGTCAGCAGCCAATGGAAAAAAATATGAATATTTAGTGATTGATACAAAAAAAAAAAAAAGAGAAATGATGACGTCTTTTATTTGTTTTTTGCGGTGGTTAAGAAAACAGCAAGTTTAATTAAGTCAGTTAAAAAACTACGTTGCCGAGGAAACAAAAAAAAGTCGAATTATTCTATTTTTCAATACGTTATTGGTTACGAAGAGCAAACGAGAAATGTCTATTACCCAGAAAAAGCCGATTATTTAAGCCAATATATTTTAAAGGTCTTGACACAATTATTAATGCATTAGAATTAAATGAAAATTGGTTCGAACAATCAGCATTCAAGAAGTTTATGAACGTTGAAGAAATGTTTTTAAAAGACATTAATAAGACGGATCTATCGAAGGAACAGAAAAAGCAATTTACTGCTGCACAGGATAAGCGCAGGGGTGAGTGCGGATTTTTTACTGTAAAAGGCCTTATTCAGATTTTTATCACATTTTTGCAATTTTTGCAGTATTAAAAAAAAATTTCCAAACAAAATTTTTATTCTCAAAATTGGAACTACAAAAGTGTTTTTTGAAACCCCTTAAACATTTGAATTCAAGATAAGTATTTCACTTTTCCCTACCCAGTTTTATTGTGCACCGTTGGCCGTATGCTCTTAGCAATAAATCATGTGCGATTAGCTGCATCGCGCTTATTAATATGGGATCGGTTTAATTTTTGAATCCAAGAACAAAAGCATTGAATCGGTAATTTTAATCAGCTTTTTTATTTTAACGCTATATTTTAAGATTATAATCTGTTATTTTTTTTCGTCATTACTATTTTAATTTTTCTTTTCGCCTTAAAAACTTTTAATTTAAAAAAACCTGACAGTTCTTAAAAATTCTAGTTTTGATAATTATCATTCGCTGATCCTTTCATTGCCTGTTTTTCTAACCAGGATTCACGGTTAGATTGTCACTGATACACACAATTGATTTTTTTTTTTTTTTGAAATCTTGACGGTGGCATTTTAACGCTTCAAAAACGCGCTGAAACAACCCGACAAAAGGAAAAGAAATTTTTCATTCTTTTGTCGGGTTTTTTCATTGAAATTTTTCATCGAAAATTAGTAACAGCTTAACGAAGGAGAAATTAAAAAAAGCAAAAAACTAAATGCTATGGCTCTAAAAAAAAGTCAACTCATATAATACTAAAAAACTAAAACTCTAGTAGAAAATTATTAAACTATGCTTATAATTACGTTAGGGTTGAATATCTTTAAAAGTTTGATCTTTTCTAATGTTTTTATAAAATTCGACGAACTTCTATGTTTTTATAATATTTTTTTTTTTTTTTAATGAAACATTAATATTTTTTAATTAAAAAAAAAAACAAAAAAACTTTGATCTTTTTTAATGTTTTTATAAAATTCGGCGAACTCTTATGTTTTTATAATATTAAGCAGTGCCGGATCAAGGGGGGGAGGGGCTAGGGAACTATAGCCCCGGGCCCCGCAAATTTAGGAGCGCCCAAAATTTTAGAGGACTTTTTTTTTTTTTTTTAATTTTTTTTTCAGTTATTTT